ACATATTAGGCTTGGACAACTTTCAAGATGACAAAGATATATCGGAACCAGAGTTTATTTTTTTCGAAATCTCAGAAAATTTGTGATATCTCTAGATTATAAACAATGGAACGGTATGTCCTAATTTTTCTTGAAGATAACGGATTTGAAACAAATGCAGTCTGGCCATTCTATTTAAGAATTTAAAAACCTGCAGAGAAATGCAAGGAAATTCCAATCATGATTTGTGAAATCATCTTAAAAGCATCTTTACAGGATTCCAAGAGTATTTTTTTATTTATAGATATTTTCACACTCTCGGATCATTCGTGTTTTATCCGGGAGAGCTTTGATATCATGATTTTGGAGTGAGAGGTATGGATTCAGACCTTTATGTTTTACAGACTAACCTCGGTATTAAAAAATGTCCTAATCTTGGTACCTGGTTATCGAAAAGTGCAGAAATTAATGTTTAATTTATCTCTATGTCCGGTGTCAAACATTCGCATGCCAAGCATGATCGGAGTTTGCAAGGAGTTTGAGACGGCATCAATCTGCTTCTCTATCTTGAAGTAGCTTCGTAACAGGATATGTCTCGCTCAGCCTTTATACTAGAACTACTTCACTCAGAAAACTGTAGCAAAATAATTCAAGCAATGACGCCACATGCATTCCAATGACACCATATGAAATTATATAAATTTAACTATCGACAACGACAAAATCAACGCTTGATCCGGGCGCGAACAGATAGCGAGCGAGAAAAAAAAATATATGCAAGTTGATTCCAAGTAACATTACAAGTTTGAAGGTTTAAAGGATTCTTCAAGACCAAATTATTGCCTACAAGACTAATATAAAATCAGAATTGTTACTTGGGATGAGTATATATGATCTTTTCCGGTGCAATTTGGGTTTTCCCGCATTTTTCGCGGTAAATCAGAATTCCCGGTTTTCCCGGTTGGATGGACACCGAACCATTGTTGGTTGTTAACAGATTGCTGAGAAAGTCCAACCAAGCGACTCTGCTCAGACTCGAAACGGATAGCAACAAAACAGAATAGACGAGAAACTGAAAGAAATAATAACCGACATGAATGCGCCAAAACCAGAGGTAATGATTTAGAATCAGCATGTGAGCATAGTTTCGCTCAGTGATTTATGTCGGGTGGATTTATTTCAGCTGTTAAATTTATTTGTGTGACAGTTTTACGTTCTTCTGCCTATTTCAATGCGTTAAGCTCATATGGAGCTAGAAATCGAAATGATTATTTTTCTTCAAAATTATCACTCAGTTGTTTCAACTGAATGTACTCAGAAACAAATCAGAGTGGAAAAAGAAATCACTGAGCAATCTTGCACACTACTACATTTAGAATCCACCACGATAACTCAGCTGTCAGTTTGGATCGCTTCTTCGTTCAACGAAAAAAATCGGTGAAAATCAAATTAAATTAGAATGTATACGTCGCTGTTCATTTCTGATATTGTATACAAGTGAGCGAGTGTTACATGCAATGTTGAACGATTTTTTCCATGTCTGACTACAGCTTAAAAAAAGGCGAATTTTTATATAAATTTGAACACATTTTTAGCTGAATATTGCATTATGTCCTAAGTAACATTGATCGATTCTCTTCGTTGACTTTTTCTTTCGTTAATGACTTGAGCACATAACCGTTTCTTGATGTGTTTGTAGTATTAGATGCTAGATAAAAGCTTCTGTTATCGATCTGTGGACTGAAAATACCTGGAAATGTCTTGCATGGCCGTGGGGATACAAAGAGAAAGTCGACGAATAAAATCTGTCAATGACTTAGAACCTAATGCAATGTTTAGCTTGATTTTTATTAGAATTTGTCGCAACTTGTAACTAAATTGATTAACACTTTCAAATCACATTTTCCAACGATCAAAATAAGCTCTTGAATTCATTATACCAAAATATCATGACAACATTAATTAAGCTTTGATAGCAGAATAAGCTATTAACTTGTTATAGCGCACAACTTGCCAATAATATAATAAGATATTACTTTGACTATATGTTTAGTATTACTTCTGCGTGAAGTCAACGATTTACATAGTTGAAGATGCTAATTTCAAATAACAGACTAAAGTGGTATCTTTATACGATAGATGGAGGAGATGAAAGTCTAGAATTGATAGTTCCGTTAGAGTACGGCAGTGTGAAAATTGCATATAGAAAGTAGATAGCGAGCTAGGACAACTCCCCCTTTGGAGAGGGATGGTGAGGGGTGTCCCCCCCCGCCACCACTGGAACTATCAACTCTAGACTTTCATCTCCTCCATCTATCGTATAAAAATTACCACTTTAGTCTGTTATTTGAAATTAGCATCTTCAACTATAATAAGATATTGTTAGTAAAATTTGATATTGTTTTACTCTGGTTTTGCTATTTCCCTCTACCCGGGAATGCATTGTCAACAGCGGCTTGCTGTTTTTCAAGATAGGGATCAAGCTGAACATTGGCAGATACTCTTCGTCGACTTTCTCTTTTTTTCTGCACACAGATCGATAGAAGTTTTTACCTAGCATCTAATACGACAAAATTAAATATAAAAAAAGAAACAGTTATGTGCTCAAGTTATTAACGAAAGAGAAAGTCGACGAAGAGGATCTAATGCAATGATCAGCTTTGATATGCTTTTATGGGCAGTATAGTGATGATTTTTATTTTGTTTACAGGGAATTCCGGGAGGATGACTTGAGAATGCCAAGCTGAATTTCAAGGGAATTTATTGATCCATTTCCCCTACTTGAATAAATCGAATAGTTAAAAAATAAAAACAAAAACAAACAACAGTTGTTCAGTGTGAGATGTTGCACCTACATAGATGGCCACACTCAGCGTTGCCAGTATTCGAGATTTATCTGGATTTTCCAGATTTTTAGTAGTCTTGTCAGATACACAGACAGACCACGTATATTTCCAGATTTTTTAAATATGTTCCAGATTTTCCCAGATTGTTGCAACATGTTTAATGCTTTGAAAATATCACTGCAATTGATATATCCTCTAATAAAAAATAAACTTGCTACTTTAATTATTAAAGGCCATCAACGTTGGACATAATTGGAATTTTGAGGTTGAAAACAATTCACAGTTAAGTGTGAGGCGAATTGTTTGTGTAATCAAAGGAGAATATCAAGCTACTTCTGAGTAGAATTACATCCATCTTTGTGGGTTTCTGGGTCGTGCGGCGTCACCCATCATTTAGGCGTATTGTGAGTGCCACGAAGTGAGGGTTCGCAACCTGAAAATTTCCCTACTGGTCTAATGGGTGTGGTGTGTTGTTCGTTGTCTAGTGTTGAATATTTAGTATGTGCAACCTCTGGTAGAAGACGGTGTTAATTGTCTTGTCAACTCTGATGACAATTGCATGGAGATTTTGTCAATAAAGGAAATACAATCCGGAAGAGAAATTATAGAAAATTCTCATGATGAAACTTAAGGAGTACGCTGTTACGAATCGTGAGAATAATTTCAATGGAATTCTGTCCAATGTTTCTATGGAGATTAATTTTAATGAAATATTAAGCGCAATTTCTGGGAGACTTTCAAAACCATTTTGGCAAAGTACTTGAGTACTTAGATAATACTGAAAAGGATTTCAAAACAATTCTGACCTTACCTACACAGCAGTTTAAAGGGAATTATCGGATAGGTCTGAGAAGAGTGTGACGGTCATTCTGAAGAGTGTACCAAGGAAATTGTTAAGAATATTTTAAGAATTTCATAGAAAAAAATGGACACGAAATTGAGCCAATTCTTGAGAATTATTACCAATTTGAGGGAGTTGTGGATGTGGAGAGTGATTTATAAGAGATTACAAGAGGTAATACTAAGAACTCTTAGAATGTTACTGGAAAAGTTTAGATATTTTCAAGATTATTTTAGGGGAATATAGAAAAGAAATATGATGGAATTCTAGGATGATTCGAATTGAACTAAAACAAAAAAGGCGAAGATATCCTGTGAAGAGTCCCAAGTAAATTCAGACTAACAAAACAATTCATGATCTGGGACGCAGGAAAAATATAAATTCCAGAATTTAGAATCATTGCAAGTTCCTGAGACTTCAAAAATGAAGCTATCAGACTTTCATTTTAGTAATATAATAAAATTATTCTTTGACATAAAATTGTTCGAAATGGTCATGCGAATAGTAGAGTTACCCGTAGTTTAGGTAAACTGCCCGGTGATTTTTTCTTCAAAATAAAATTGCCTACTGGTCTGCTGGGTGTTGTATGTTGTATGATGTCAAGAATTAAATTGTAGATCTGATCAACCTCAGAGTAATATTAGAATTATTTAGAACTAATAAAATCTTTAAATTCTGGTACTGCATCAAATAGTAAGGACTACATCGACTATTAGTTCAAAAAATTCATCCCATCAAATTTCCTTGATTTTTTGCTTTACATTATTTGTAAAAAAATACAGTTTAAAAAACAATTCTAACCATATTTTCTGCTGTTTTTTACCCACATTTAACTCAATTTTTGAAATGCTGCGTAATCGATATTTGAAATTATTGGGCACACCGTGTCAATACTTTTCAACTTTTGGATGATTTTACCAATGCTAACAAGTTATTTGCTTTATATAATTTATTTAAACATGTAATTTATAACCATTCTAGTACTTTAAATAAATTCCAGATGATCAAACTGACCTATTTTTACTGGAGATTGTCACATAACTTTGATTTCAATAGCATTATGTTAAAAAGAGGATTTTTTTGAGCATTCCAGATTTTTCCAGATTTTATATTTTACCTGGTCCAGATTTTTCTGAAAATGATCTGGCAACGCTGCCACACTTCTCCTAAAGATAAAAATCTCTCGAATCTCGAGATCCCGAGCATGCGATGCTCTACAGAGAGATCCGAAAGCAGAGAGAAAACAACTGAAAGGAGTAGCGTATGCGCCCAGGGCCAGGCCAACTAAGTCCTAAGTCGTCGGCGAAACTGAGTCAGTCAGTCAGTCGTACGAACGCCGCCGAGACTCAAACACGTTACGCTTCACCTACTTACGTTAGGCATAGCAGCAGTGGTATAGCTACAGTTACAGCCCCGTAGAAAGTATTTCACGTGCACGCTCGCGTTCAAAATAAGCCACTGGCAACATCTCCCTTCTTGAGTCGTCGTATTCAATTATTTTCGATTGAAATTGGTTAATAAGTGCGCGTTGTCTCCGTCGAATTTATCGCGTGGCGGATCTTGAATCGAATCAATACCAATAATGAACTGAATCATGATGGCATTTTTTATTGTTGCCGAAAACCGGAACCAACTTACATACCTAGATATGTATATTGAACTTGGATAACAACAGCAGATAACGTTAACTGTGTGCACGCGTAATCATCGGAATTTTGAATCTTTAATTTAAAAAAAAAACAAATGTGCAACCGAAAAGCGCCTGTGTCTGCTGCAAGCTTTTTACAATCACGCAGAGCATGGAAAACCCAGAACTGGAATTGAACTGATCGCGTATTCAAAGTGCATCAATTCAAGTTAGATCTCCACGTCGTCACCGCAGTGGCAAGCACAACAGTTCAGTGGAATGTTATATAAACCGGCACGGCGGAGCAGCTAATAAACAAGATAGTATCGCATAAAGGCAGACTAAAAAGCAGTGACACCACAACAGGCACTTTTGGGGACGCAGCACACGGTTGGCGACGAATTGAAATCATAACACGCTTAATATAAAGACATAAAAACAGCACACCAGTCTGAGAAAGCTGGTCGCAAAGGTGAAAACATACATTCGTTCGTGACTCTCGAATGCAGCGGATGGAAATGGAATGGGACTGAGCAGCTACTAAAAGCAATAGTTTTAGACGACCCTACGAGGGGTGCAGCAAGCGTTTGTGCAAACTCAAATAGTTGGACCAAGCGCACCAAACTGCACGGTGCAAATTTGCCTGAAAGAGAGAAGAAAGTTTTGACGATATGGTCTGCCTAATTGTTGCTTTGAAACGGGGAAAATCGGCACTGGTAGATCTTCGTGCACGAAAGAAAGTGCATGTCGTAGAGCTTCGCAGAAAAGGTGTGAATGAGCTTTCTAAACACGAAGCAAGTAGGCTTTCACAGCACGAAAAGTTTGTGTAAATTTTGGACACAGTAAGTGTCATTGGACTTATTATTTCAATAACAGTTGCCAGAATGAAGCTACATGAAATCGACAAAGATATCATCGGGCTCAGAAAAATTAGATTTTTCATGATGGTTCAAGCTGAACGATGCCTTAGGTCCTAAGGTTGATCGATTCTCTTCATCGACTTTCTCATCCGTTAATAACTTGGGTACTGAACCGTTTCTTGTCGAGTTTGTCGTTTAAAATGCTAGATAATACTCGAGAAAAATCCAGCATCCAAATGACAGCAAATCGATACCAAATCGTCATATCAATTTCACATATCATAATTTGAATTCGGTTTAGGCGATTGACATATTTTATATAAATGAAAATTGTTTTCATTTTGCTGTACATTTGCTCTTCAAAAATATGTTGTTGCAGTTTTGTTTTCATTGCCGTCGCAGAACATTAAATTGAATACTCATTTTGTTATCAACAGGAAAAATGCTCATCAAATTAAGTTTTCAGTTTGCCCTCACTGATAGCAGATTTTTTTTATTATAGTCACTTTAACACTCTTGGGTCATTCGTGACTTGTCCGGGGTGAGATTTGAACTCGTGACTTTAGCGTGAGAGGTATGGATGTTAGCCACTACGCCGCGGTCGCCCCCTAATAGCAGAATTATTTTTCAATGTGATGTCAAAGGAAGATTTTGTTGCATATTTTGCCCGTTGAAACGACCAAAACGACATCAAAATGAGTAATCATTATCAGCGACATCATAACAACACATTTAGTTTCCAATTTGATCACAGACTTTGCTCGGGTAACTTATTTCATCGATCCGTGTGCTGAAAATTGGAAATGTCTTAACATGTCGACGAAGAGAATCGGTCAATGATAATGCATAATTCAGCTTGATATGCTTAGAACATTTTAAAAACCTAACCGCTTTGTTTAAGTTTAGCTTAAGCTAAGAACAGTAAACACTTTTGCAATAAGTGCCTGAATCGTTGACAAAAACGACCGACGAAACCAGTTTGAAATGAACGTGTTTACAAAACGTGTTTGGCTACGTAAAGGGTAAAATTTAAATATTAAGCAGGTATTTTTTTTGCAAAAGACTCTGTTAGTTCCTTTGATGCTTTTGTGAAACATTCTGGGGTTATAACGTTCAAGTAAGGTAGCAGATTTTGGATACCCTAACCCGAAGGAAATTGATCGGTACCTATTTAACAAGACTGTGGAAAACAAATTTCAATGGAATTAATGGTATTGTGCTAGCAAACGGGACTGGTCCGTTTGGCATAAGGATGTTTGGCATAATGGACACTTGGCATAACGGACATTTTTGGTATAATCGCTAAGAATCGACATATTTTTGAAACATACAGATAATTTACAATCAAAGATTACTCCTTATTTTAATTGCTGCTCGTTCTTTCACAAACAATTATTTTTAATATTTGTGGTAATATTCCTTTCTTGGAATATTCGATAAATAAAGAAACTTTTTTTTTATCGAATATTTAATAATACAAATTTCATATGAGAATGTCCCATCTTCGAATATTATTTAAAGTAGGAATGTGATAGCCGCTGGTCGTAATTTTTGGGAGAGTGGGGAATCAAGCATCCATCCAGAATCAATTGCCTTTTATACATACGGTTCAAGATTGAACAATCGTGTGGGAGTAGGGGTCCAGGGCTAGATATCTCAATACATATGGGTATCTGGCCAACCGCGTCTCAAGCAGCCCTTCGATTTTTTGCATTATGCATGTATGTGACGATGTGACTCTAAAACAGTAGTTCTCAAACTGTTGTGGATTGCGACTCACTTTGAGGGATTACCCACCAATATTGATACAGATGTTGTAAAGCAAAAATAACCTTAAAAACTCGAAAATGGCTTCAATACGCCAAAACAGCCTTCATACTGCTTGATTGCTTAAATCCGAAGACTACAAATCAAGAAGACTGGCAACTCTTCCATTTTCTCATACGAATGCTATGAGACAGGTACAATCGCGTCATCTGTCGCTCAAAGGTAAATGCTTCGAATGAATTTGATAGCAAAGATTACATCCGCAGAAGAAGGGTTTGTGTATTTGCTCATTTTTCTATGCGTTGCCTCCACCTTTACTCAAGCGCAGCGGCATTGTATCTGTCGCTTGGATTCTGGCAGAGTTGCCAGTCTTCTTGATTTGTTGTCTTCGCTAAATCCCAAAACCCAAATGGCATTTAAAAACACCAAAATAGCAACAACAACAAAACCAAAAAAGCTATGCCGAAATTGCACTAATATGTCAAATCAGTCCAAAATCTGCCATCAATGTACGAAAATTATCTTGAAAATCTAAAAGAGTAATCAAAACGATGAAATGGTAAAACAACGACTCCGGGCTAAGTTGTTTAACTACGCACCTTAAAACGCTAAAAATAGCTTAAAATCGAAAACAAAAATGCTTTAAAACGCTGAAATGGCTTTTGAAAACGTCCCTCAATATAGTCTTGAAAACGTCGGAATAGCCATTGAAACATCAAAACGCAAAAACTGGCCCCAACATGACTAAACTAGACCATTAAATGCCAAAATAGGTTTAAAATAGCCATTAGCATTAAAAACGACAAATATTTCGCAATAAAACGCAAAATCTCATTATAATTTTGAAACGCCAAAAATTACTCAATAGGCCCAATATAGTCAAAATTAGCTATCTAAAATGACTTTAGAAGCCAAAATAATCCTGAAATTAAATGATAGAACAGTTTAGAAAACGCCTGAATAATCACAAAAAAATACATTGAAAATCCCTCAATGATTTTGAAACAGCTTGTTATTGTAGCTCATTTGGATTATCTCTACATAATTTTATATTAAGTTAACATGAAATTGCTGTCTGAATTTCTGCGACCCACAGATTGAGATGATGATGATGATGATAGTGGTCTACCACTCATTGTAGCACGGAAACTAGTCCGATAGCTGTAGACACTCCTCACTGTTGAACTTGATCAAGCTTGATAACCTCTGATTGTCATTAGAAAATCGCTGTATAAAGGGCCAAAAACGAATGGATGGATTGATAGGCAATTTGCCTATTCATTTACTTGGGACAAATAAGAATCTCCTTCCAACAACTTGATCAGCCACTTGGCCAGAAAACGAGCCATCCAACAGGAAGATGCCCTAAAGAATGGGGAGAAGAACCCACCATTTATCCACGAAATGTTAGCAACAGGGAGTTGACATCTTCACTCTTCCCATCCAAATCGCTTCCATTGGCGACCCCCAGATTGAGAAACGCTGCTCTAAAACTTCTTAATATGAAGGGCTGAAAATCGAAACATGATTTTCAGCTTAGTAAGGAAGTAGGCAGCCGATTCCTCACTTCTTATGATCGAGTTGATGCCATAACCATTCAAACCCGACGACGGTGTCCCTTACACATAAAAATAAGCCACTGCGACCGACGATCTTTCAAAGTCGGAGGCATGAAGCTACAAAAAAGCACTTAGAACTTTGCTAAATTCTACTTTTAAACGATAATCATTGTTTCTATTTGGTCCTCTCCTTGCTCAAACGCTCTTCTTGCGAGAGGCAAACTTTTAGTATAATGATGAAAAATTAATGCTCCTAAGACTATTTTTAAAATTAATTTTATCAAAGAAATAGAAAACACTTAATCGTAATTAAATGGCTTAACTAATGATCCAATTTGTTGAAGGAAACATTCAATCTCAAGAGCAGTGGTGGCACGAGTACTTGATACTTTTCGCAATGACCATATTGAAGACACACAAAAACAAATTGGCAATCGGCGAAAGTATCGTAACATTTTTGAACTGTTTTCTGCCGGCGTAAGAACATTTTCACACGAAGAAGAATGCGACATAATTGTATGTCATGTAGAATTTTACTGATTTCTGGCTAATTACTGCATTTACTTGAAGTTTATTGTATAGAATGTTAAATGATGTTAAAATTATGCATAAATAAGGGAGCTGATAATTTACTGTCACACGCAAGCTTGCAGCTAAAATTTAATTACCATAAACTGTTTTAACACTCCGAACACGATGCCTCCGGTGAAGTGCGTAACGACAAACTCGCAATGTTTTAAAAATCATAACTCAGCCATTTATTGACGAATTTTAAATCTTTTGGCGCCATTAAAAAGTTCACACTTTAGAGATTCCTTCGGTATCAATAGATTTAAAATCTATTGATAAATTGCGGAGCAATGATTTTTCAAACGTTCCCAATGTGCCGGTACACATTTTTACCGGAGGCATCGTGTTCGAAGTGTTAAAAATAACAGACTGCGACATTTTTCCTATCCTGGCTTTTTTGTTTTGCTCTTGATGGTTTTGCAAAAAATGTACATTTGTAACCACTGGTCATTGATTGCAACTGTTAACATGAAAATTTATCATTCGAAACAGTGCTGCTAATACTTAAATTGAAATGAAAATATTTCCACACTATCACACTATCAAAGGATCAGCTACCAGACTCCAACCCAACTTTGGCACAGTATTGAACCGAAACGAACCCGACATTCGTCCGAAACGAACCCGACATTCGTCCGAAACGAATCCGACATATGATCGCAGGGCTGGTAGCCATCATTGCTGTTAAAAATAGTGATTTTAGTGACCATGTTGAA